TCGGTGCTACTCGCCTTCCAGGATGGGGACCGCATTGTCCTCACTGTGCCTGGTTGGAGACACTACAAGATATGGCTGCCAGCCGATGTCAGTGGCGTTCTCGTTGTCAGTTTCTATCCAGATTGCCTGAGTGAATGTCTGGAGGTGTAGGCACCTCAGAATGATTGTGTTGAGTTAGCAACAAGTCCCTTCCCCGTCCACCTTTACTCTTTTCTTTACAATAAGGCTTTCAAATAAATCATGGTTGTACGGCAATGAAGCATCGGTGTTGAACACTGATGTCATGCTGTCGAGCCACAGAGGTTGTGGATCGTATCAAACACTGTACTGTCTTTTACACCATTCTGGGGAGCCATATTTCGGCTGCTTCACAGTCCATGCAAGTGGCTCCTTGTCACAATGCTTCTCCTTCGTTCGTGTGCCATTATCCTTTTCAAAATATGTTATTGTGCGATTCTAGCCACGAAAAGCAGCCAGCGCTAATCTATCGACGTGCCTCTGATGAACATGCATCAGTGTAACAGACAACGGATGAATGAGTAGATTTGATGCAGAATATGACTTTTTCGCTTTTTGACCAACTAATCTTGAATGACTCTGTGGCTTTCTGCAGCGGATCTAGTGGAAGTACACATTTCCCATTCTGTTTCAGTCGAAGTGAGATGTAATTTATACAGTCCAAATCTTTGCGCTACGCAGATTCAGTGTGAACACTTTCCGAGCCAACTAAGAAAACGTTTTTGTACTGACTACAAACGGGATTACAAACTCAAGGTTTTGTTATTTCTTCTTTCCTCAGGCTCAGGCGTCGCCAGCTATTGCAGTGCTTTTACAGACCTTCAAATGACCAGAGTTCTACGGATCGACCAACCAACCGAGTTACACAAACTCTGTCAGAAGATGCCACTCTGGTGGACATCAAGGGAGACCATCCGTTGGATCCACAAACTGAAGTAACCCTATCTCGACTCACCGTTCCTGGTGCAGAAGGAGTATCTCTCAAGGGAAGCAGACATGATGGACCGCTACAATTTCGGCCCGATCCTAACAAGAAATCATTCGCCAAACAGTTAAGTGTTGTCCCGTCGATTATTCATCCCAGTCAGACAACGACCGATGTTCAAGTACATCCTCGCCCTCCTAGAGGAATGGAAGTTAGTTTCAGTATAGGAGGTGGTGACAGTGTCCTTTCACGTGCATCGACTCCGAATGAACGAAATAGTCAGGGAACGTTGAATGAAGATGTCTGAATCGGAACGTGCGGTCACTCGATACCCCATTTCCTGAGGAAAGCTGTCCTTAACACACATGCGCGTGCCCAATACTCGGAAGCAACAAACTACAATATACGGTGGGTCTCAAACTGTCCTCCACATGTACACCAAGAAAACTTTTATGGAACTGCACACATTACTTTTCTGAGTTACCTTCTCTATTCTGGGTATTTGTGAGTTCAATACATTCTGTTTACTTGGTAAATCGCCGTTCTGATTGGGTAAGTTTCAAATTAGATTAATATTGCAAGGCAGTTCGATTAGGACTAAAAGTAGAGATAACTGGAATCAAAATAGGTGCTAACCATAACTTTCCATATCGTTTGCTTCACTGAGGGCAAAGTGTATGTACACTATCGCTGGTTATGGTTGGGTAAAGCTTGATGGAAGAACTTCATTGTCAATAGTTGAACATGGGGATACTGAGCTTCTTCAGTGCAAGTACCCAGTTTTCTTTGGCTGTCAGTTAGCCCAAAAATATCGAAAAACAAATAAGAGAGATACACTCATTTGCAAACCAATTTGGTTTTCATGAGAGACTCAACTGAATCTCTCGTTCATGATATTCTACCTACCGATATTCTGCCTACCTGATGAGCCCCAAGAAGGCGAAACCGGTCGTGGGCTGTCGAAGAGTTTAAACAGTTTTCAGCAACCTTGTGAGTGGTTTCCTTTATGAAAAGAGATATACTTCGATATCTCGAATATCGTGCCAACTGAATCCTGGGGCGTCCTGTGTGCAGCACATTCAGCTGGAGAACATGATAAACGAGAGATTCAATTGAGTCTCCCGTGAAAACCAAATTGATTTGCAGATGAGTGTATTTCTCGAAAAACAGTGCAATTTGGGTTCAAGTAGATCATAAGGTTGACGGAAACTCGGGGACTGCGCCTACCTGATGAGCCCCAAGAAGGGCGAAACCGGTCGTGTGCTGTCGAAGAGTTTTCAGCAACCTTGTGAGTAGTTTCCTCTATAATAGGACTTCATTCGAAAAGCAACAGCAACGCTGAGCTGCTGACAGGTGATCCAGAGCATCACAGAGCAGACACGGGGAACCGGAGCTCATGCACAGCTTTCACATTTTCTGGATTTTATTGATTTCTTTAAGAAAAGTCTCTCAGGAAGAGATGTTCTACAAATCCTGAAGTGTAGGAGTCGGAGTTCACAGAAGGCGTATATTTTCACTGAATGTGTGAAAAGCGTGTACCAACTGCCTTGGTTGGTTTATTCTCGGTATTTGTCAGCCCACACCCGTGTACAAACATTTTTCCACATGTGTTAGAAAAGTCCTGGAAGTAAGCAAACGTCGCGCAGTTTAGATCGATCACAATCACAACACTCAGCACAAGCAGGTTCTAGTGTACTGGGAACAAGAATTGACGGACTAGCTGTTTGTTACTACTGGTCGAACAGGTAATCGACAAATCGGTCGGAATTCCCACCTACATTACAGCCACTATTGACATGCTCATAGTGTGTGATTTTCGATTGTCGGGTATTGCATTCTGATACGGCACTGAATTCGCCTTCGGGTTCCAAGTTAGGGTGTGTCCACATTCCTTCGACTGTTCCTGATATTCCTAGTCCGTTTGGACTGTAGTATGGACCGAACTTCCAAACCAGCATGTGTCTGGATAACGCGTTCGTCCATCACCACGGTCGACCTTCTTACACCCTTGGGATGGTTGGATCTGTCTGCAACCAACGGCTTCTTGATGATCTTGTTGTGGCGGCCAGTTCGTTTGATTGTGGATACACACAACAGTAATATGACTACGCCATTCATTTGGCAATATATTGGAAGCTGGAATGCTCAGGCATCTGTCTATATGATTGCTGACACTGGCAGTTAGCATTCAGAGTTTTTATCGCCAGTGGTGGGGGCAGTATCAGTGCGCGAATGAATGATTACTTCCGCCTTACTTGCTTACGTTACGTTTGTTTCATCCGAGAACGAAGTGGAACGGTGGAGTACTTTGGCGATGGTTGTGTCGATCAACAAATATCATACATTGGCTAGGGTCTTGAACCATTGAGGCATGACTCACGCCCCAAAATTTTCAGACAATTGTGAATGTACCAGGTTGTCTAGCTGATCTCGGACTAATAACACACTCAAGCGAGAATCTCGCGACTGTTTGGCCACAGGTTGAAACATGGGTCTCTCTTCTCTTAGTGAATAGCTCCCGTGGTCTGTTATGGATCATGCTGTTATTCGTTCTGTGTGTAATCAATACGAATATGAAAAACTTCCAGAACTCTTCAGTTTATCCTTGATGGTAAGAAGTTTCCCAATCACCGACGCCTTTCACTGCGTTTCGTCTGAATGAGATCAACCTCGAATACGACTGAGACTACCACTGTGGGGACAGACAGTTCCATCAAAGAATTCACAATACCAGGGCGTCCCCAGAACAAACAGTTGCGAAGAGCAGCGGAAACCATAACAGCACGATCGGTCGGGGATTTCCCGCTTATAAGTGAAGAAAATGAGGTAAGGTTTATTTTCATAAAGGAAACTACTCACACGGTTGCTGTAAACTCTTCGACAGCCCACAACCGGTTTCGCCCTTCTTGGAGCTCATCAATTAGGCACAGTCCCCGAGTTTCCGTCAAACTTATGTTCTACTTGAACCCAAATTGGACGAGTTTCGTGAATTACACTCATTTGCGAATCAACTTGGTTTGGGTTTAGTTGTCATTTCCACCATTCTATTTTGTAGAGTCCAGCTTCAATAAGAGGCAAAGAAATGGTTTGAGGGTAAGCAATAAGGGATGTAGTCATTTGGTAGCCAATCACCCAAGGGTCAACACCAAGATCATTTTAGTCAGAAACTTTCGCACTGGAAATAGTATGATGAGGAACGGGAAGTACTAGTAATTGTGTGGAGTATAACCTGGAGGTGGGAGAGTGGGTTCAAGTTCCCTAACTTAGCGTAGAGTGTAGTGAAAGTCTATTAAAAGTCCCTTCCTTGTATGGTAGTATATCATTGTCGGTCGCTCAATGTGCTCACTTTTAAGCAACACAGGTTGAGTAAGGTGTGAGCAGACCCAGTTTGACATAGCATTTCGACAAATCTTAAGATGCAATAACTTAAGATGAAAGTTTCCAGAAGTTAGCGGAAGCAGCACTTAATCTGCGAGGTCAAGTTTCCAGAGGGCTTTGATGATTCATGGTATCTGCTTAGAATGCCAGAGCTAAAAGGCACATATGATTCTTCGAGAATAAAGTCGTGGCGACCAAGTGAGCCTTTGAGAACGTCAGTAAATCAATACAAAATTTTCACCTTCATCACTATTTATGGCAAAGAAAAATGCATGACAACCTGGTTTCGTTTTTCTGCCCTTTTCTTTCGCTGATCGAAACCAGTGGCAAAATATGGGCAGGATCGTCAGTATCTGGTGAGCTGCAAATTTCTGCTTGGTGTAGCCTTCTGAAACATCCTGTCCTGGTAGAAAACCTAATAAGAGGTCGCTAGCGCCGTTAGCCCTCATAATTTGCAACACCCCTCCCATAGTGAGGTCCTTTAATTCAGACCAGTCTCAGATCTTCAGAGCAATTAATTCGAAGCTCTCAAATCCTGCGAAAATGTAAGCATCAAATAGATAGTAAGACCAGTAAATGACCCCAGGTGTTGGGCATTTATCGATCAATCAGAAATTTGATGCAGCAAGCATAGGTTGCACAGAATTTTTCGTGTAGGTATCCAACTAATCAAACAAGATTCGTTTGCTGAAACGTAAAGATCGTTCTCTAACGTGAACTCAAGGCGTCGTTGCTAGAATCAGATTTTTCATTGACCTAACTTTGTACATTGATCATGGGTGTCTTCCCTGAATCAGTCCTCACGAGTGGTCAGTTTTCAAGATTTTTCAAGACGTTCTATAATGACATGATGAAGACGCCACTAAACGTAACTTGCTGGAAACATTCATGAACAGTTCGACAAGCTGAACTTGAGAATTACTAAAATGGCCGTGAGCACTCTGCTTCTTTTGAAGATGACGTGACAAACCACACAAGAAGTGACAGTGGAGTCGGACAGTTGCTGGTAAGAAATATGAAAAATATTTGCAAATTTCAACCAGTCGTATATTTTTTATCGCTATTCACAGGTGCAGACATGTCCTGTGATTGACGCTATCACACACAATGAAATGAATGCTTGATACAACCTTTTTGATAGTGTCAATCGCGAACGGATAAAGTCTTTCTAATAGTGACGATTAGACTCCAGTCAACTTGGAGAGGACGACTAACCATTGCTTTCACACCTGAAACCCCTAATCCTACTCTGAGCCTAACCCGCACAAGTGCGATCACTCCATCGGTAAGTCTGATGAGGCTCGGTGAAGCAGTGAGAAAGACAGAGCACTGCTGGACGCAGCCACGAACAGTATGGGGCGGAGCATGTTACGAAGAAATGAGAAACCGACATTTGCCTCTGAGCTAAAAACTGCATCTCACAGTGTGGATTCACGAAAGTCTTGCCTAGTCCCTTACGATACGGCCAGCGAAACAAGATTCAAAGCTAACAGTCCATATAACCTTTAGGATCACCATAAATAGAAGCATAACACAATCTCACCTGAAGCTAAGTAAATTCCAGTCATTAGGCTTTCAATAAGGTTGGTCATTCGGCTTATTTCGTGTACCAAAATAATCCCTGAAAGTGTGTGACATGAACCGGTATTCGTAGGTCCGAACGGCCGCTGCGCGTGAATTCCTAAATTTAATCTAACCTGTACGCTACCAGATAAAACAAGGCTTCGATGTGAACCCTCTTAGCTTATGAGAAAAAGCCCCACAAGCTGGATATTCGATCGTCTCTCTGGTTGCTTTACCATCCTCGTACAAGCGAAATGGTTACCAATTGGTCTTACTCGACGCGTTCACTTCACTTTCGCTGGATTACTTTCGGATAACTGAGGGCATTTGGAGACAAAAATTTCCATCGCTATCTCCTGAGTTCATGCTCCCATCAACTAGTCACTCTGAAGTACAACAGCCTGCGTCGGCTTGCCGGTGCTTCGTTAAAACAGCTATGCGCTTCTCAGGTGCTCTTAAGATTGCGAAAGGAAAACCGATCGCAGGCGATCTTGTATTTTTTGTACTTAGCTTTAGGTTTCCTAACGAGTTATCCCACCCAGTGTACACCAGTTCCGTTTGCAACAGAAAGTGAAGAGTCTGTCAGATCAGTCGTCATTAGTTTGATTCCTGTCACCGCGACTTGAGACAGCTAGACGGGAATTCTGAATGACTGCTTTTCTTTAAACTATCCATTGAGCACGGTTCGTTTATTTTACTTCATCTTTATTGAGGGGCGTTACTGTACATAATGCCTTCATTATTGCCCCCCCCGCTTGTCCGTATTGCATCTTCATTGTAACACGGTCCTTTAATGACTATTTAGTGTACCATGTCGATGGCTGTAAGTTGGACTCATTCCGAATTGGGCAGTGAGCAATGTCAACAACTGAATTCAACGTCCTTTGCTCTCTCTTATGCCTGTTTTGAGGGCAAAACACCAGTCGAGTTGGAACATCATAAACAGGCTGATGTGGCAGATCGGAGTATGGGGAAATGTGAGTTTGAGTTCACACACAGCCACATTGTTGTGCAACCACACTCGGATCGATTTACTCGTCTGTCTATTTATCCTACAGAAAAGACCGAAGGCGAACACACGCAGTTAACTTAAACCGGGGTGAGAGATTCTTATGTGAGTCACACGCATGCAGTCTTAGGTCCTCACCAAGTTTCGTGTGCATGGGATGTGCGGAGCAAATCGTCGGCCAGGTTAGATCGAGTGACATGATAGCAAGAGAAAGTGGCCGACCAAACAGTCGCTCTACACACAACAGCTGGTCGTAATTGAATGAAAGTGGATTTGAATAGCAAAGCATTAGACCACGCCGCACTACATTGTTTGAGTGACGACTGCAGGATCAACCGTGGAAAAGCCTTTCTCAGAACGTGGTTGTGCTAGCAGACAAAAAACAGCAAGGCGTCTATTGTCATACGAAGCTTTAAGATTTCACCACCAGCAGACAGAATGTTTTGAAGCACTTTCAGTTTCATCATGATATCAATACTGATACCAACCAGAGGTGTTTCATACATATTTGCCACTACACAATCCCTGTCACATCATCCAGTTTAGGGGAGTCATGTGTACGGGTGGGAAATTCTCCAACGGATACACCGAATTCGTTATTGGTGTTATCCTCAACGTTCAGACGTGATGCACTACTCATAAGGGTGCTGAGAACTTCGACAGCCCACGACCGGTTTGGCCCTTCTTGGGGCTCATCAGGTAGGCGCAGTCCCCGAGTTTCCGTCAACCCACTGTTTTACTTGAACCCAAATTGCACGAAATTAGCTCGAAAACATCATAAACGAGAGATTCAGATGGGTTCCATGTGAGTCTCCAGTCAAAATCAAACTGTCACGCAAATGAGTTAGTGTATTTCGTTGGTTACGGTTTTTTGCTATTTACGTAGGGCAAGTTCTGATCGTACTATCAGCATCTCGACTTCCCCTATCTAGGCTTGGGAAACTTGGCAGTGTCTCGGCCCTCGTGCTTCCTTCGAGTAACATCATCATCATCAAAGACAGCAACATCAGTGTTGGCCCTGTTCGAAGTCGTATGTGTCGAAAGGCCCACCAACGTATGCCTCGGAAAGAAGGAATGAGGGAGGTTACCGAAGGTCTCGGTGCTGAAACTGCGGACTTTCTTCTAACTTGGATTCAGGGATTCTCCCTGAACACCGACTAGGCGCCGCACAATAGGGTGACATACTCTACTGGTCTAGTTCCGTCCATGCGTCCCTACGTCGCTTAATGGGGCCCACAACCAACCTTTTACTTTTTAGCCCTCCGGATCAAGGCGGATCTACGCATGACCTTTCGGTACGATACGACAGACCCAGTCGACTGACTTGATCATTTTGTCCGGATTCGTTCTGCTATCCCAAAGTGCTCAATTGTTAACGAGGTCACCGATGAGACGACTTGGACAGACGCGCCACCGAAACTCCGTTGAAAAGTCGAAAAGGTCATGAATAAAGCAGATCGTTAAGGTTCACAATGCGCAGTCATTCCATTCACTGGGAGCACTCTCGGCCACAGAGGGACGACGTCGAACTGTCAAAAAAATGGACATTTATTCGTTCCACAGTTAGACGGGCTTGGTGACCCTCATACAAACACGCATCCTTGTGCACGCTAAAGCACAATTCACTGTGCTGACACGCAAGTATAGTGATCTACCGCATGAAAAAGCCAATAGATGTTTTTTTCACTTTACCTCAAAAGTTGAACAACCTGGGTTTGTGATTTGTCGCTGGTATTCCTGGATCATTTAGAATGTGTATCCGGTAGCACCGAGGGAATCAAAGTGCAGTGTTCCTGGGCTTGAGAGTACTTACAGGAATATGAGATGTCCGAAAGGATTGGAGGGCTTTTGTACAGCAGGTACGATCCTGTAGCACGACTGATCATTTATCACGATACGACCTATTTATTTCTGCCAGGATACTAAGACACCAAACGAACACGACTGGTTCAAACTCCCGTAGGTACCACACTGTTGTAATGCTGCACTATATTAGATTCAAGATGCAACGTCCAGAAAAAAAGGCACATTTCCACTGTCCGGATATTGATTCGACTGAAGTTCCAGTACTCGTAAAAGGTCATGTGGAATAGAACGTTTGGCGACTAACCGATGCCTAGGCATCTAAGCCCTGATAGAAGCGCTTGAGAGGATCAACCAAACTGAACCAGATGAAGCACTACCACAGACGGCTATCACTGCCATCTGGTCATTCATTTGGCATCCCGTTAAGTCATCTTTGACTAAACTGCGCACCCTAACAATAGTCTAGGAATAGACCGGGAGCAATGCGCCACCGTAGAGCCAGTCACTGACAAACCATGGAAGGATACGAAAAAGCATAAATAGAAGCAGAGTGAAGTCTACAGTAATCTCGCTAGAATAGTTCCTCCCCTGTCTTAGCGTAATTATTCCGGTAGGGAGTAGACACCAAGGACTGGAAGCATCCGACTCAGGTTTCTTTATCATCGGCAGTGTATGACCTTGATCCTATAGGGATTTGAACTGCGGAGAGGCACGCGAGGCGAGCGTTACCACTACTCCAACAATACACGATGGGCGCATCTGAACTGTTGTCTGAACAGGCGAACGTGTTCGCTCTTGAGGGGTGCGGCTGCTTTGCTCCACACTTCGAACGATGACCCGGTAAGTGCCCTGGTTGTGCCAATCAACTCATCTGTCACAGTCACGTGGCACCTGAAACATTTGAAACGACAATTTCTCACTAGTTTTGGGCTATATGTAGAATCCACATTTACACCACCATCGTGTGAAGTTTTTCTCCTGCCCTATTATCAGGAATTCGAATCCCGGGACGGTCGCGGATGAGCGGAACTCTAGCAGGACGCCTCTTCCATTTGTAGACTTAACAGAATAAGTGGGTAACTTGAATTTGGGTTTCAAACATCATACGCAGTTTTACACCGCTATGAGCTTGCATGCTAAATCATTCTGTAGGTCGAACAGAAAAGACAATTTATTGCTTGGGTTGACCGCTTATCGCTAGGGTCGTAAGGATCCTAGTGGGTTCAATTCGATTAGTTTCTGTTGCAGTTGGTTCGGAAATTACCATGACTTAGGTAACGGTGCGTTTCACATTGAGAACGACCTGTGTGGCCACTCCGCATATTAACATCTAGTCAGATTCGCACAAATCAGCGTTCTACGTCTCTGGATGGTTAACCAATAGATGAGGAAAACCAGGTACACGAAAGCATACAACGAGAACAAGGCCACTTGATTTAAGCCTATGGATAAACAATGAACAATCACAGATCCAGAAGGATGGTATTTGAAAAATTAACGCACTGTGTAACAAACTCATAAAATCGCACATGAATATGCACAGGTAGAAAGTGGAATCCATTGTTATCACTATCGATCCAAAGTAGAAACAGATGGAAAGGCAAACAGCAGATACGGAAGGTAAAGTGAGAGGTGACATTGTGCCCTCTGTTTACTCTCAAAGGATAAGAGAAACCGCCATTCAAAGCAGGCGACGAAGAACAATGACAATAAACGAATGCAAGGAGAGGGTGATAAGAGGAGACAAAATTACCATCAATTAGACAAACTAAGCCAACACTCATTGGAAAACAGGTAGAACGAGGGCGGGTGTTTACACAAATGGGATGACGGTGAGGGAGCCGTGGAGCAACCAGCTAGTAGACAGGAATGAGAATGAATAGGCTACAATGGAAACGAAATAACGCGTATAAATGAATGAGTTTTGTTCGCCGGAGTCGGTGATGGCGATAGTCCTCGTACATAATTACCAAACAAGCCTTTGGTAAGGACAGCGTGCCAGAGAATCCGGTAATCTACTCCTTCCGTGAACGACGTTTGCGTACTGAATGTTTTTCAACGGGAGCGGGCTGAAGTGGATGAGACGAAATTCCTCGACAGGTTAAATACATATGGAAACACGCTTATCAACAGGTAACATGCTGGTATACTAGTAGTTCGGGTGCGTTAATGGGCTCCTAATCAGCAATACAGTAACCCGTAGTGCGTACCGAACGGCAAGCTGAGAGGTAGACATCAAGTTGTAGCTTGACTGTGGCGTCCAGCGGTTCACTCTTAGTGCTCCGTTTGGTTGAAAATGACCAAAAATGAGCAAGACGAAATCAACTTTATGCCCTTGTGTCAGCTAACGAGTTTTCACAGGCCCTCTAAGCCCTCTGTAATATCAAATAACACCTATTTCGTGTGTAGCATTGCAGCCTCTAACCTATGCGATGCTAAGAAGCAATGAATGGTTCACAAAAATTAATGACCGAGCGATGAGCCAACCAGTTATCGAGGTCGACTAAGGGACGTGTTTTCCCCCAAACTGAGGTAACGTGCAAAAGCCACACATTGCATACCTATCTCACCGATTTTACGCCTGAAATCCAACCACTCCGAACTCACACATTACGAACTGCGGGCAAGGGAGATATACTCAACCAAAACAAAGCAATCAGCTCAAACATGTTATTCGACCCTGGCGTCAATGGCGTGGGTGAGCGATGCACATGCATACACAGCAAAGAATAACGCGAAGCTCTTGTTAAAATTTTCATTTACCACGTAAGAGGATGTCACAATCAATCCAGTCATACTGACATCGGTGGTCTTTCGTCAATAAACTGATCAAGTCGTGAGTGCGCTACTGACTGAGTCTATAACTGGTTGTGGGTGATTGGTCTAATTAATTCTTCAGGTCAGCAGCACTTTCCAACAGGTGTAGATGGCATGAGGTCCTACATACTCACGACCAAAACAATGGCTATCTTGGAATCTATTCAAAAAGCATGTCATACCGGCAGGTAGATGTTCCTTATGGAGCAGTTCTTGTGTTCTTCGAACTGGAGGAGATTTTAAGATCACTGAATCCTTCCAAGTAGACAGTAAACATTAAGAAGTAGACTATTAGAAAGAAATTTTGTGTTTAATCTAACACAAAGGCTTTACTCTGAACAACGTACGGCGGGGTATCACTATCACAAAACCCGGAAGCCTCGCCTAAGCTATCGAACGTCAGAGTAAACCAAATAGACCCAATGCCAACTCACCATGAAACAACACCAGAGGCGACGGTAAATTACAACTGGAAATTCTAAGTCCAAAGTTTACTGACCAAAAATGGAGCGGCAAAGATGCCAGAATTTAGTTTTCAATTGGTTCCATGCGACCAGATATGAAGCAAACCATACGACACTGAAAAATCTAAATGAAACGGACCTAGCAAAACTAACGGCTTGTTGACGTTAGGATCTCAATCGCAGCAGTCACAGTCATTCAAGCATTAGCTCATAGTGATGAACCTACTTCATTTTCCCCTACGTCGGCAGACTCCGAATCCGATTCTAGGTCCGCTTTGCTTCCTGAAACAGTTTTGGTGGCAGAAGCATCACCACCGGCAACATTAGGCACTTGAACTAGATCATCTTCCTCTTCGTCTTCCACATCTTCCTCCTCTTCGTCCTCCTCCTCGGCTTCCTCCGCCTCAGTAGACGCTGGTTTCATTGGTCTAGTGGAGTCGTATTTGGTCGGGTCTCGTCTCACATCATCCGGGGTGGCCGCATCTGTCTTTTTATGCATGGCCGCCGGTGTGTGTCGTTTGGATGGACGACAGATGAACCACAGGCACAACAAAAGTGGAATGGTGCATGCGATCCCGATTCCAATGACCAGGAAAGGTTTTTCTTTGTAGGTATCACGTATCGCATCGATGACACTTTGCTGAAAAGGATGGTAATGAAATGTGGACTAAGGTGTGAGGGCACAATTTATGGAGTGGAAAAAAGCCGGGTCTAGTAAGCGCAACAAGGTGAACAATTAAATGGGTTGGTTTAGGGTTTAGACATTCCCAACCTGTTCGACACTTTGGCAATTAATTTCGGGACCTTGCCAATTTAGCTTTGCAAATTCTTGGCCTTTTACCTTCCCACCAAAAGAATTGCAGTAACAAGAGGTAGGGAAAAACTTACAGCCTTGGGATCAGCTCTCCTCTCCGCTTCGGCTTTCCGCGCCCAGGTCTCTTGAGCGAATTCGTAAGCATCTCGCCATGAGTCGACAATCAGGAAATTATCGAATGTGATGTTTTCATTCATGGTCCATAGCTCTATACCAATGGCGGACTGTTAGAAAAACACGGAAAAGTGAGAGGGAGGCTGGAGCTTCCTTGCGTTTCCAAAGCATCGTTTGCACTACTTTTTTATTTACCACTACCCGGTTGTACAGTATAAAAGGACTCACGAATTCCATAAAATATTACAGCTTTGGATATGGGAGCCTTTGCAACCCAAAGGGAGGATGGACAAAAACTTATTTTAAAAAATCGCCGGCCGAAATGTTTACTCCAGTTCCCATCATAGCTCATTCCGGAAATCCGAACGGAACTCATTAATAACGCTCTATCTTGCCCAATGAATAACAATAATAAAGAACATTATTATTTTCAAGTAACTTTCGTTGTAGATGCCGACACTTGTGTTGAAAATTCATGCACAATCGTTTTGAAACAGGAACGGAGTGATATTTGTTACACCTGAGTATGACATAAAATGGAGCTAACGGTTATACACTACGGAGTAGGGATAAAACAATGTGTTTCGCAGAACTTAACACCAGAACTACAGGTACGGAAACCTTCGATTTCGGAAAGTAGCTTGTGGGGGCGAAGTAAACCGTCTGTTGAAGCTTACAGAGCTTGGGCGAATAAGTCCCGAAAACTGCCATACTATACGTTCATGACGTCATAAACCAGCTACGTCCAAGGTGCGTTAGTACAGCGGTAATACGCTCACCTCGCAAGTCACGCGTCCGAAGTCTAATTCTTGGCACGACCAAGGGCACCGCTTATGGGGTCTACTAAGAGCAAGACTTGATTTCAGTGAGAATCCGCTTTAGTGTGGACAAACCAGAACAAATACTTCGGGAAAGGAGGAAGACTATTAAAAAGGCGGTGACAGGATTGCGAAATTCTCACAGAATCTTCATCGAAACAGAAAACCAAACTGATGAGTTTGGTGCTCCGCAAGAACGATATCTCGATGCATTGTTTCTCCCCACGTTCTAATACAATAACATTCCAGTAAGGCGCGAAAACTCTCCGTAGATGAACTTGCTAGTAGGGGTATGTTCCAATCCGTCAGTTTCGATTTAGTAGTCTATTCTAAATAGCAAGGCCGGCCAATATTCAAGCTTTCAAGCACAGTCTATTTAGAGAAATTCCAATCAAGGGTTCGGGCTGTATATGGCCGTCTACCGAAACCTTTAACGGTACATTGACGATCCCATTGTGAATAAAAATGTACAAAACTGAGAATCACTATCAACACCCCAGTATGGCACTATCAAATCCAATTTGATACAGAGTGCACCACGGACACACGGTCAATTCCGATAGCAAACCGAAGGCCAGAAGCTAACAGACACGACGTTTCAAATTACTCGTTGGTCCATCCAGTATACGTTACTGTCTCATCAACGTTCAACCGCGTAATTGCGTTGTGTAGGGAGACTGACGAGAGATCCAAAATAAGGTGAAAAACCCACTCAAAAACGCGGAGATCCGGCTATCTTGGTTGATCAATGACTGGGAGAGAATCGGTGCATCTGCCATACCCAGTAAAGGGGATTGAAATACTGCACTGAACCCGGGATACCCGAAATCAGTTGGTTGGCAAAATGGGTATAGAGGAAAACTTGTAATTTATGGATAGCGCATACCAAGTCAACGTTTCTGAATTACACGTTAAACAGAGTCATGGGACTTTATGTCAGAATTGCTGAGTACAGAACAGGAGTAGATGGACAACCAACAACACCAGAGGCCAGTGGAACTAAGGAATGGTAGGAAATGTACTATGGGGTATGGTATGTACGTAGAAAAAATTGAGGCAGTGAATACGATTCACATCACACCGACCGACGGTAAAAATCTGTAAACAAGCTTTTTTTCAACCGAATCGAGCAGATGGCGTGCGTACAGAGAACAGCTTCACAACCGAGTGGTGGTGCGTAGCCATCATGGCCAAGCATCATCACGAGCCAGGTGCTCAAAAAGTCTCACCGACAGTGAGAACCTCATAATTTAGTCATTTTCTTAATCCCCCGTTAGTCAAACCCGAAATCTTCCATAAAACTTGGAGGCAGTCCACTAAATGAGACAAGGGACATTATACACGATGCCGAAAACGTCCCCAACGGGAGAAAGTGGGAGATTCTCAATACCCCCTGTTACTTATTGCGAATAGTGAACTTATGGACTAACGAGCTAAGATTGTTAACCCGCCAGTTCCATTTCGCATTCTGACAAATCATGAAGCACCAGTAGATGAACAGCACCCGTACATCAACCCAATCAACTTGGTATAGTTTTGTCAGGTAGTCAAACCTGGGCTTCTCAATGTAACCGATCAGCCAAATTGAAATACGAAATATATGTGTGCGTATTTACAGAACATCGTACAAGGTTTGTTCAAAACTCTACTCTTCTGCAAGGAGACACCTGCTTGCTACTCAAGGCCTAAGCCGTCGTCCTGAGTTCTGAACACTTGTTTCTTAGGGCGGCTGCGACGCGCTAAAACCGACTGATATGCAATCGTTTCTTGAGACATGGAACAACGACTGTATAGATAAAGTCAGCGTTATTTTCATATAATCCAACCGCAACCCTCCCGTAAGTGGTTTGTAATTAATAAAACCCGGAAAGAGACCTGTCCTCTCAATGGACAGTAACGTACTTGAAAACAGGTGGCTTGTCGAAGACTGATATATGAGAAAGACCTGCTGCAAAAGAATGCAGACAACGTAGTTCCAATATGCCAGTGAAGGTCTTCAAAAAACGAGTCCCCGTGTGATTACTTGAAGAACCAGTAGGTACCCCACATAAATACTCATGATTTATCATATTAAGCTTAGGATAACTGCATCGAGTGATAATGTGTATTAGGACATAATTCCACGAAACCCTCAAAGCGGAACGCCTCACAACTTTTAGTTCACCCGATAGAGGACCCTTACTGAGAAATTCTGTTGTAGTAGTAGATCAGAAAATCGAACTTAACAGTGCTATCTTATCACCATGGGGTCGAATGTAAGCAATGTGTACAAGGTGGATCATTTGTTATTCATATTGCGCAATGACAGTTCTCACCAAACGTCTTCTGTGTGGCTGGTAAGGAAAAAACGCTGACCACGAGCACTTCAACAGGTTACGTAAAGTAGCCCCTATTCCACTGAAAATCACTACTGGAAGTCATTGAAGAGTCCAGATTCTTTATGGATCGTTCGCAAACTTGTACATAAAAAACTACAATCGGCCTGCTTCCCGACCACAATTTAAATTAATGATGGATCTACAAATCAGGGTTAAGCCTGGAACGCATAATCGTATGACCAACGGGGAACATTTGCATTAGGCAGTAAGGAATGAAGTGGGGAAAAACAAATGAGGATATAAATTCTGCTTACCACCGGTTGCAAATTTTTGAATGGACTGTTATCATAATAGTAATCAGGATTCTTTATCTTGGCCGGTTTCCAAACACCTTTGAAGGCTGGGTTGGCAATAAGAGGGGGACTCCATTTGCCCTTATACGCAGGGTTCCGGATTTGCGGCTTACGCCACTCCCCGCAACCTGGGGCTTGTGCACATTTCTCGTTCTTGATCTTGGGTGCCTCCCACTCGCCATCCATTTCGGGGTCCCTGTAGAGAAATAGTGAAATAGAAGCCTTCTTCAGAAAAGCGTCCGACTGTCCTCTATCAATAGGGCTATGGAAACACGACCGGACAAGGTAGGCTAAAGCAAACTATTGTCCGATTAATGAGTGACTGCTGGATGAAAGTGAATGTGAAATGCACACGGAAATAAATTAAGCCATGGCTCGATGTTCCTTCCACAGATTTGAATTCTTCAAACAACGAAGACACGATGTAGTTAAAGAAACAGTGACTGCAAAGAACAAAACTGATGTGGGTTGCCCACAGATCGTGTTCATCTTAGTGGTGTGATGTGAACATAAGTACCTGTCCTCAGCAGAAATCGGTGAACCATGGGTGAAATAACTCTCAAAGAACTAGCATCTTTAACACATGAAACAACATTGACAAAGACGCACTAGGACGAAATGCTTGCTAACTCAGTATAAGAAAGTGGAACGGATCACTACAGCTGTGTCATCCTCGGGAAAAATGAAGAATGGGATACTGCTGTAAGTAAATTTGTTTTCGCGTTTTTTCTAGCTATCTTGGACCACGCCGTTTCCTTATTGACCAGTCATGCTTTGGATGTGGTAAGGCATTTCTCGTCCTCCAAGGTCGTCCAATATACATATGGCGTTGCTCTAACTGTAGACTGTCTCCAGTAAAAGCAGTAAAAGTTGTCCCGAGGTCTCGTCTTCTTCTTGACCATCTGGGTCATGATTGGTTGGGTTCAATTCGTAGCTGAGATTTGTGCGCCTGTTCTCTATTTCTACTTGAAATGAGTCACATGGTTTGGAACGTGTAGTGCAGGCTTGCATAAATGAGGGAAGGGACAAAACCGACGGCTCTGACGAACATCCATCGTCGCACTGGTGTAGCGCAGACATACCTCGAAGCCATATTTTATTGACCGCAAGAGGGTAGGTGATATCATTCATAGATAAGCCGTCGACGTACCTAACTACTGGATATGTACACATACCCTGAGGTAATGGTTAATATTCGGTCGCCAAGCGGATTTGTGCTTTCAAAAGTAGGAAAAGCCTAGCAGTGCCCAGAAGCACTAAGGAAGGCAAACGGATGGCTCCGGGACAACGTAGTTGCAGTATATTCGTTTGAAATCAGATTGCCAGTAACTCAAAGAGGCGCGCTTAATTTGCGCAGCTCTGAAAAAATACTACGAGAAGTAACGTCGAGCAAGTACGTAACGTCTACAGATCAGTTAAACAAAGAATGATCCATCGACCTATACTTAGTGGTGGCGTGATCAGCCACAAACTAGTTTGCTGAAAGAGGGCATCATGTGAATAGGGGATACTGATTGAACAGCACATGCCAACTGTTGTCGTACGTATCAACTACGGCTTTCACGTGTTTGGTCTGGCTGCTTGATGTCCAAGCCAAGACAACCACATTGATGACGAAAAACCAGGTCGACCACATGAATAGTATGCAACCGACAAAATGTACCACTTACCAGTCTTTTGGCACTTCAGCACTCGGATCAGGTATCATTTCGGGTTCGTCATCCAACCACCCTTCTGGTTTCGTGGCACTCTCGTCTGTTATGAATTCGGGGGCATCCTCATCCCAATCATCGGGCTTTTTCGCATTGACATCGACAATGGTCTCCCTATCGTCCCAGTCATCTGGTCGTTTGTCGTTCGGATCATCTATTTCCTCCGGAGGGTTGATTTGCGGTCTGCAGAAAAATGGAAGAAAGGTTCAAGCCCCACCTCTGGAAGAATAATGTAAATCCTAGGGACGAATAGGATGGGATTTTACTGGCCACGGGACAGATAAAAGCCTTTTGATGAAAATGGTATGAAAGGAGAAAGCGAGAAGCGAAAATAGAAGGAAGGTCACTAAGCTCTCAGTAGCCAGAAATGAGGGCCTCGTCTCCAAAAGAGCGCAAACTTCGAGGTCTTCATGATCGTTAGCTCAAACTTCACTAGTTTTACTGGAGTTGAGAGACAACTGGTTGCATACATGTTCCAGTGAGCCTGAATGGTACTATAATGGATTCTTCCAAGGTGATTTACCTCCCCATGAACGTTTCGAAGCGCTCGAGAATGGTCTTCATCGTTCAAAATTCATGCAGTTCACCATTTAGAGAAATAGGTTAACAATAATGGATACTAATATTGATACTATGAGCGACGGATAAACCAGTGAGGGTTACTAGGCGGCCGAAAAAACACTGCAAGAGTGGTCAACGTTATAACGTTCCACAGAACAGGATAAAATAATAATCCCTCCACCAGCCGCCGCGTCATTCTCACTATTAAGTTTAGACCGTTTGGTTTCGCACTTTCTGTTGTTCGAATGCCTATTCCAAACCAAAAGCCGACCGGAACAGCAACTGAAATCTAAAAGAGAATTCCGAGTTCACAATTTGACGGATCAATGACAGGATGGTCTCAGGTTGACCGGCCGTTCACAGCAGATGTCATGAGTAGTTTGGGCCGAGATTCCGAAAATCACTTCCGTCAGTCGGTCCTCACCATGCTTAATGATGGCAAAACCAGAGGACACTGGTGCTTCACTGCTGTACAACCGTAGCAGTCTATTAGAATAAACCTTATACCGAAAAAAAGGAAAATTGGTATAGAGGGGACCTAGGGCTAGCTTACAATAACCATCCGGGGTGCCTACACCTCCAGCACTCAGCCAGATAATTTAGCCAGAACTGACAGCGAGAGTGCCGCTGACATGGGTTAGCCACTGTATCGTTCACTGTCTCCAGCCAAGCACAGGGAGTTCACGAGGACCTCGTTCTGGAAGAACAGTACCAAGATCACTCTAATTTTTCGTAAGATCTTTCACTTCCTTCTGCTATGTAAAATTCTGTCTACCTCTGAGTTTCCGCTACTCCGAATCGGACATAGAAAACGTTCGTTTTGGCAGGCAGCAACTCGGCATCCTGAATACATAACTCAGTCACCTTAGTTTGCAGCGTGATGCATAAACAAGGATGCTTAACCAAGGATCCACTTTCTGTTCACAATATTGGGCTAAAATGGTAGGAAGGCATGTATCCCGGCAATGAACACGATGACCCGACCAACCTGATCATTGTTGACATTCAATGCTGAAGTGAACTTTTTCTGTGACATTGTGGCGCCGAAGTGACTTCACTGTCAAGAGCAGTGCGCAATGTCGCGATCCGACCAGTTCTATTTAATGGATCGCAGACGCGACCGCTGCGTGCTGAAGACCTTCGAAAGCTGTTTGACCACAGGTGCCTCCGAAGCATTACGCGAGTCCGGTGGGAACATTACATTCGTAATGCTGACGCACGGTGGATGGTTGTTTCGAGAGTCAATTTTCCCTCGGAAGAAAAGGTTATTCCACAGGTTACGCTGGCTAGGCCACATACTTCATATGCCCGATGGCTGTTTGCTTCATACAGCCCGCTACGCCAGGCAACGGATGGAAAAGACTCAGGGGTGGGCTATTCCACAGATTACGCTGGCTAGGCCACAAACTTCATATGCCCGGTGGCTGTTTGCCTCATACAGCCCGCTACGCCCGGCAACGGATGGAAAAGACTCAGGGGTGGTCAGTCCACGACCTGGCATGAGAGACCTTGCCAGTAAACTTAGTCGCGTTGGTAAATGGCTTTCCCGGATGGGAAGAGTGAAAGAGAACAAACCTATGGTTAGTGATCCCGAGAGATATGGTTGTCACGCAGCCAATGACGGTCTTGCATCAAAGCTATCCCTACCATATCTGATAAACAGAACCATTCGATGTCAATAAACTGATTAGGCCATCGCCTCTAACACGTGACCCTCATTCCTTTATTCCACATATTCTCGGAGAACGAAACCATCATCATCATCACCATCGACAGCATGGTATCAGTGACCAACAATGATGCTTCGCTGCCGTACAACCATGATTTATTTAAAAGCCTTATTGTGAAAAAAGAATAAAGATGGACGGAGAGGGGACTCGGATGATTAGGGGGGGTAGGTAGCTGCGCATTGGAGACGCGAGCTGATAATTTATTGCGTAAACATAGGACTGTCAGTGGACTGAGGTGCCTTGCCTACCAGACACTCATTCAGGAAGTTCGAATAAGATGGAAAAATAAGATAATCAACTAGTTGTAACACCCATTCAGTGCCTTGCCGTCATGCCACCCGAAGGAAGTATGAGGGCTGGGATACTGCCAGCCTGCCCACTTCTAGACAGGGTAAACCGAGGTAAAGGTCCGGTTCGAACCACGGACCATCCGGCCATTAAAATCGCGCTTTATACACTAAGCCATCTCGCAATCTCGATAGCAAATGACGACCATATCGACACTGACATCGGTTGACAGCCACATACTGCAGCGTCTACAATCAGGTGTCATCATCATCATCGACAGCATGACATCAGTGTTCAACACCGATGCTTCACTGCCGTACAACCATGACTTATTTGAAAGCCTTATTGTGAAGAAAAGAATAAAGGCGGATGGGGGGGACTTAGTGCTAGCTTAACACAATCATTCCGAGGTGCCTACACCTTCAGACATTCACTCAGACAATCTGGATAAAAACTGACAACAAGAACGCCACTGAAATCGGTTGGCAGCCATATCTTGTAGTGTCTCCAACAAAGCACAGTGAGGATCACGCGGTCCCCATCCTGGAAGGCGAGTAGCACGGACAGCGCCCAAGAGTTTCGTGATCTCCTTCATACTACTCTGCCAGGTCAAGGGTTGGCCACCTCCCTGTTTACGCCACTCTGAGTTGGGCATGGACGAACATGTAGCTCTACAATTAAGGCCGCAAAATATGCCAAACCCATCCTAACGTGCACACCGCTTAACACAACCAATAGCACGAACAGTTGGGGTACTCTCACCTGGTTTTCGGACCATCCACCAAAGCGGTAGGTCAGAGGTTGGTTGTTGTCAGATCCAAAGTTACCTGGAGTCACGAATTAGAGCTGAAAATCAGCTGAGGCAGAAAAGCCAACAAGCTACCCCAAGCGCTTTTAAAACCCCACTCTGAAGAGCCTGTAATGAGGACAACCGATTCTTTTTTCTGATGATAAAGATGCTGCCACTGGCCAGCTATAGAACCTTCCGGTGATAGCTGTTTCGAAACCTGTAGAAAGTTTGACCACTGGGGCATTGCAGAGTTACCCAGGCGTAGACAGCAACACTAAAGTCAGAAGTGAAGTCGGATCACGTACGGGTGTCCCGAACAGGAACAAACACTGTTCGATACCTAAATCAGTCCCGGGATGAAAGAATCGGAGTTTCAATATCAGATTTTACACGCACACATACCAGAGCACAAGAAGAACGGCTTTTGAGTGATCGATGAGTAAACACGCCGTGCGAAAACAGATGAGGAATCATTTGGATTCGTTGTTGATCTGTTCACCGAGCTTGGCAGTTGGATTGAAAACGTTTCATCACCAATCGAAGTGACATCGTCAGTGTGGGGTTGAGCGGGTGAATTCCTCCTCTTCTGCCTGTGTTCATATAGCTACTAAACCGCATCTAGTAGCTCTGAAGGCGATCTTCGCGTAGTTTGATTGGCCCCTGTTAATCTGAGTTGGTCTTAATCTCTTATCTGGTTGGTTCGTTGAGCGCATGCAATTCGACGGCTCTGTGGGGGATCGTTCTGTTGGATCCGATCGTTTTATTCTTGCTTTGTGGTCTAAATTTGTTCCGCTGATTGGTTGATTTGATAGTCCTCTGTTTTTAGAAGTTTTCTTCCTTTGATCTCATTATTCCGTTTGTTGTCGCTAGGTTTCTTGATTTCCCAGGTGGCTCAGAGTCCCGTGACTGTGTCGTTCTTTCGCTCGTAATGGTTGATAGATTGGGTCGATATCGATGTTTATTAGTCGACTTATGTGTGGAGAACCATGCCTCGGCAAACTCTAGCTCCCGTTTTGTTCTTGTGTGAGCAAGTAGTTGAACACTGTCCTAATTGAACTCGTGTCTTTGTCGTCTTCGTGGATTGAGACAGGTGACATTGGGTCATGTCTTCTGCTGGCAAGCCTATACAGGCTTGTATTCTGGTAGCGAGTTTTCCTCCTGTTTGGCCAACATAGTGTTTGTCGGAGTCGTTATACTTGAGTCTGTAGACCACGTGCGTCTTCTTCACTGCGTTCGACCGTTATTTCGGAATGTCTCGTAGGGTCTTTGCTCTTCTTTTTCCTTCGCCCTCGTCGTGTTTCAATGCGTCTCGATCCCCTTGAATAGGATTCGAACCCAGCTCCGTTTGTGGCAATTGGGGTGGTTGCTGTAGTAGTTCAGAATCTGGTCTGCATGTGTTTCTTTCCTGTACACTCCAGTTTGCAGTTGGCCGTTTGTTGTCCTTGTGACGAGCACATCTAGGAACGCCACCTTTTGTTCTCTTCTGCTATCATTTTGAAGTGGATGTCGGAAAACACGTTGTTCACCAGTTCGTTCACCCCGGCAACGGATGGAAAAGACTCAGGGGTGGTCAGTCCACGACCTGGCATGAGAGACCTTGCCAGTAAACTTAGTCGCGTTGGTAAATGGCTTTCCCGGATGGGAAGAGTGAAAGAGAACAAACCTATGGTTAGTGATCCCGAGAGATATGGTTGTCACGCAGCCAATGACGGTCTTGCATCAAAGCTATCCCTACCATATCTGATAAACAGAACCATTCGATGTCAATAAACTGATTAGGCCATCGCCTCTAACACGTGACCCTCATTCCTTTATTCCACATATTCTCGGAGAACGAAACCATCATCATCATCACCATCGACAGCATGGTATCAGTGACCAACAATGATGCTTCGCTGCCGTACAACCATGATTTATTTAAAAGCCTTATTGTGAAAAAAGAATAAAGATGGACGGAGAGGGGACTCGGCGCTAGCTTACTCATCGTCAACATCATTGTCAGCTGTAATAACCGCGTACTTGTCGTGCAGTGGTTGTAGCTTCCACAGTTTCGTTCACCGATGATTAGGGAAGGTGGGGTAGGTAGCTGCGCATTGGAGACGCGAGCTGATAATTTATTGCGTAAACATAGGACTGTCAGTGGACTGAGGTGCCTACACCTCCAGACACTCATTCAGGAAGTTCGAATAAGATGGAAAAATAAGATAATCAACTAGTTGTAACACCCATTCAGTGCCTTGCCGTCATGCCACCCGAAGGAAGTATGAGGGCTGGGATACTGCCAGCCTGCCCACTTCTAGACAGGGTAAACCGAGGTAAAGGTCCGGTTCGAACCACGGACCATCCGGCCATTAAAATCGCGCTTTATACACTAAGCCATCTCGCAATCTCGATAGCAAATGACGACCATATCGACACTGACATCGGTTGACAGCCACATACTGCAGCGTCTACAATCAGGTGTCATCATCATCATCGACAGCATGACATCAGTGTTCAACACCGATGCTTCACTGCCGTACAACCATGACTTATTTGAAAGCCTTATTGTAAAGAAAA